AAACAAAAAATCCTCTCCCCTTTTCAAGAAATATTTCCAGTTGAAAACCCAGACTCAAATTCCAGGGGATCATCATACCTTTCCCCTGCTGGCTCCCAGTCTTGGGTTTTCATTATTGTCACCCACCCCCTAGGTTGAACTTTAATCTGTCCTCTACCAGTTGCCATGTTACAGGAATCTGATGTTGAAGATTTCTGCCATAGCTGATCCCCTCTCTATCCAACCCACCTCTGGCACCAGTCAGTTCTCCCCCGTGGAGCCTTCTCTGCTGGGCTCTGGTTCCTTTTCTCTGGTTTCTGTCTGGATACCAACACTTAGTCTTCTCAGAATACACAATCTTGTTGAAAGCATCCTATGAGGCCCACTTTGCCCTTCTGGTTCCTTCTCATAGTGGCTTCAAACTGTGTGGGATCACCTTGTGATGCTAAAACCCAACCCTTTGGCAAATGTCACTCCTCATTCTTCTCTTGCAAGCCTGCTTGGCTTAAACCCTGACTATCTAGGTGCAGGGCCCAGGATCCTCTCTTGACATGACAATTGAAGTCGGCCAAGGAGCCACCTTCCATCCTGATGCTCTCTTGTGAATTTAGATGCATTTGCATGTTTGACACATCCTTGTCACCTCTTATCTTCCTGCTGGACCCAAATTCCCTGAAGACCTTTCCTCCAGTCTTGCAGTCTCTTCCACACTTTCTAGGTCCTGGCTGCCACCAGGCTGTTTATCTGTCTGCCTTGTCCATGTCCACCCCCCACCCCACCCCCTTGTAACAGCCTGGTCTTTATAGTGGCAGTAAGTTTCCAAGATTGCTATAGCACTAGGAAAAGAAGCAGACCTCATGAAACAAGCTGCAGATGCTATGGGCTATCTAAAGTTTAACCACTGAAGACATGTGGAAGAGATTTTACAAAGGGACAATTGACCAGTGTAGGATACTTCCAAGAACAGTGTGTAGGGACCTATGTCACTTAATGGAATGAACTAGAAGCACAAAGTGAGCAATGGGTCTGCTGTTCCCCAGAGAGTTTCCTCTTCACAGCCACTGACAGAAGGGCCACAGCATCAGCCTGCCCTCTTTTCTCTGGGTCACTGAAGTGGAGAGAAATCACCTTTCATTTGCAAAGCTGCCTGCTATGTTTTCAGCATCTCACAGCAGCTTTCTCTCTCACCCCTCTTAGTCTGTAGTTGACTGTTTTCATTTCATGCCCTAGGCTAGATTACCAAAGACTGAGCTGGAATTTCCCATAGTAACTCCAATAAAAACTTTAAGGAACATTTTGACATGCTGTTAGGATTACTATTTTGTTGTTGTTGTTGTTTCTTCATTTGTTAAAGTAGGGGAATTTCTGTGACTATACACTCTGCACGGATGGATCAGCCTCTCTCTAGCCTTTTCTTTCTTAGACTTCCCAATCCCAGGAATGATGTGGCCACTGTGGACCCACCTATGAATATGCAGTACTTTAAATCATCAGCTCCATACTCTACAAAAGCAATATCCAAATGATTACTTTGAAGAGAATTCTTACCAAATCCCCATGAAGTGGTATACTATCCAAAAGGTTTACAGAGTAATTGAGAAACTCAACTCTTTCTTGTCTCCTATTTCTACTTTCTCCATATCCAAGTTCATGTTTCTCTCATGCCCAGCTTGAACTGAGTCTCCAGTTCAAGCCCAATAGCCTGATGACAAAGGACCCAGGTGACTGAGCGACCAGGAGATGTCTCTGAAGTTCTGGTGTTTCTTAATCTGAGGCCAGGATGCTGGTTGCCTGGAGACACCTCCATCCATGCCTTCTGTGCCTTCTCAGGGAATAAAACAGTTACATCCTTAGACATGGTTGAAAGGTTCAAACCTAAACCTTGTATCCTGTACTGTTTAATATGTGATGTCATACGAACAAGTTGCTGAACAACTTGCTTATGTGGATTTTCCAGGGCCACTGTAACTTGTACAAATCTGTATTCTGTCCTCAATGCATAAAGCAAACATTTTTTTAAGTGAACTGATTAAAGGTCATGATGTTTTACTGTATTTACATAAATATAGATTAATTTAAGTTTGGATAAAGGCTTCTCTGAACATCTTGGAGATAGGTGTGTTGTCATGTCGTATCAATCATATTAAACTTTGCCTTTAAATACTGAAGCCACTCCATAATGTTATGAAATATTAAAATCAAACATGAAGGTTCCACATCATAAATTATGTCAGCTAATTTCGGGCTGGAGAATGCAGGTCTCTGGAATTACAATGGGTAGGGTGATGAACTCGGCTGTCGCATTTACCAAGGTTCTATGGAAAATAGTCCTTCTTTTGTCTGGAAGTCCTTGTGGCCTTTCATTCCCAGGAGGATGTGAGCCACTTCCATTCTGTATAATTGGTGTGGTGCCCCAGATGATCTGTCAACAGCGTCTCTGGCATGCATTTGCTTAGGTGTCTGATGGGTTGGTCTAGAGTGTTAGTATTAAAGACTTTGGTGACCTGCTTACTGCCCTTCTTCGGCAAGGCCTGTCCTCAGAATTGCTGCATTGTCCTATGCCTCTGATCATTTCTGAACATTATTGTCTGAGAAGCAGCCTGGCCCCAATATAAGTGATCTCCTTCTATAAGGGAGTCCAGTGGCTGTCCCTCTCAGTTAGATGGCAGAGCAATAGAGAAAATGAGAGGATACAAATATCTAGCAATGTATACCTGGCCTCTCACTGGGGTAGCCTGGCGTGTCTCAGCCTCTTTATTTTGTGTGAACTCTACTGTGCAGGGGTCTTCCTTGGAGATTGGGGGCTATTATGCACAGGCCTTTCATTTGTTTATATAGTTCTTAAAATTGTCTTTTCTTTCACAAGGCAAAAAATAACAGTGTCAGCTGAGGAGCTCTGGGATAAACTGAGGTAATACGATGACCAGATTTTCATAGAGCCTCCTGAAGGCTCTCATGGAGCTTTCTAGTGTTTGCCTTATTAGCCTGCTTCTTAACCACTAGTTATGTTTCTCAATGGGATAATGGACCTGATTTATGCCAAAACCCCAGTGTCTTAATCACGACAATAAAACAGAGTCATGGCAACTGTTGTCATTTTAAGACATTCTTTGCTTTTCAAGGACATCCTGTCTTTAAAGATGAGTCTTTGCATCAGATTAAAAAAATAAATAAATTGAATCACTCTACCTTTTAAAGGAAAAGATGGATTTAATGAAGAAAACAAAACTCTCTATAGCTCACATAATTTATGCCAAATCATATGATGTTACAGCCATGCTAGACTCCCAACCCTACCAAATTCAATCTGATAAACCCATCTCATGTAAGTAGTAAACACAGACAGTAAATTATTAATATCTGGTAAGGCATGCAAATGGCAGAACTTGCAAATTTTCCTTTGAGCTGTTTTGTGCACATTTGCTAATCTTGCTTGCAAAAGAAAATTGCAAAGATAAATATGAACTTTGAAAAGTAACATTCAACAGGATGTGAATGTAAGAAATAGCACACCATGAATAGTAAACCCCAGCATATTCCGCCTCTGCGGAGTGAAATGATTACTGTCTGTCCAGGTTTTACCATCAGCTTCATAAGGCACTAACCTTTTTACTTATGAACTACTCATGGGTGCTGAACTAGGTTTTATCCTTAGAGTGGCATTTTTAATCAAGTCCCTAGCCCTGTAACCTTGACAGTGCCCTGGTCAGGTTGTGAATAAGTAAACCCCTATCAAGTCATTTTCCAAGAGAAAACCTTCAGGCTGATGACCTCAACCCTGTACTAGCGCTTGCCCTGGTGCTCTGAAATGATCTCGTAGGTTCTTAGCCAAGGCAGGGCTTGCCCAAAGTTCCTTCCCACTCTTGCCAGTTTCACCTCGGAATGCTTCGGCAGAATTTCAGAGCCCATGCAGACAAGGTCAAATTAAACTGCTTCTGTAACTGCTTCTAGCTCATAATCCCAGAAGGTCAGCCAGTCCCCCAGCCCCAGACCAGCACCAAGAGAGGGGAGGGGACCTGAGTCCTGGTCTGCAGAGAGTAAAAAGCACCCATTTTCTCTGTTATTTACTCCAGGGGCACCTCTCCTCCCCCACTTCTGGCATCCCTTTATCACTGGCTCCATCTCCTTGTGGCATATTTTCAGGGTAGTAGAATGTTCAGGTCACAGGGAGAGGCTCTTTTTTCAAGCAGTGGAAATGCTAGCTTGGAACCCTGAGCATGAACAAGCAAGATGCAGAGTCTTGTTCTTGACTTTGGGCTCTAGTCTCTGCCCCTGCTTGGGGCTGGCCCATGTTCCCTCCTCTCTCCTGCCCTCGCTAGCTCCCTAGGTTCTGCAGCATAGGTTGATTTCCCACGCTTGTGCAGGTCAGACATGGGATGCCTGGCACGCAGAAGCTCAGCGGGTGCAGACCCCAGCCTGCAGCCCGAAGAAGGTGTCAATACCAGTAAGCAAGACAGAAAAACCAACATTTCACGTGGGCATTTTTGCCTTAGCTCCTGCTTCTGTCTGCTCAACAGCAGGCGGCAGGGCCCCTCTGCTCAGTTATCCCCCCGCCTCCCCCCATCTCCCTGAAGTTAATCAGCTATACTGTACTTGGCAGTTCGCTTTAGTTTGGATAATACTTTCAAAACCTCGAATGTTCCAGAAAGATGGTCGTCCCCAGAGCCCCTCACCCCCCTCCAGCCCAGTTCTGCCTGGCCAAGGATGCCCTGTGCTCACAGGGCTGTGGCGTTTGTCTGGAACAGACATCACATTCCCGCTCCTCCCAGGCTGTCGCCAAAGTTGCCAGATGCCCCTGGGCAACCAGGTCCTGCCAGATGCAGTTGCATAACCTCGCCCCCCAACCCCCCGCCCCTGACTGCCACCGGTCTGCACTGGGCTATAGCCGCCTGTCCCGGACCCAGGCGAAACCGGTTTAGGAGTGAGTGCGTGCGCACGAGCCAGGGTCTGTGCCCATCTGCCCATGGTCGAGTACAGTGGGCTCCGGGGCGCGGGAGGAGGGCATGTTGAGCTCTGCTTACCTTTGGCTGCTTACTGATAAGTGGAGGTCGGTGCAGCGCCTGGCTCTGGCATGTCTTGCCGCGGACCCTGGCAAGCCTGGCGCGGCACGGAGCACTCGGGGCAGAGCATCCACGGCAAGGATCGTCGGGCTCGCGCCGTAGGAGGCTCGGCTCCGGGGACTTGGCCAGCTGCGTGCCCGCCGCCCGCCCCCTCCACTGCCACGGGCCCGGCCCGGCCAGCCCCCGCTCCGCAGCTCGAGTCCCTCAGGCTCCTGCTCAGCGACGCGCGCGGGGAGGCAGTGGCTCGGCCGGCTCCGGGGACGCCCGCGCGCTCGCCCGATCGCGGCGCGGCGGAGCCAGCCACAGCCACCCGGCTCCGTGCTCCTCAGATGTCCTCATTTACTGCAATTGTCTCCGGCAAGATCCGGGAGTCGGGCCGGGAGGAGGGGGCGGAGAGGGGGAGGGAGCGGGAAGGGAGTCCTGGCCGCCGCTCCGGTCCCGGCCACTCTGTGGAGCCGGGCGGCCAGAGGACTGAAGAGAGGGCGCCCGGAGCTGCGCGCCAGCCGCCTGTGCGCTCGCCTGCCACCGAGGCGGGCGGAGCCCCAGGGCCCGTGGGGCGGGGGTGGGGCGGGGGCGGGCCGGGCCGCGTGCGTGGGGCGGGGGCCCGGCGCGTAGAGGAGCCCCTCCAGCCAGAGCCGGATCGCGGGCAGGAGGAGGAGAAGGAGGAGGTGCTGGAAGCAGCCTCTGGCTGCTGCCTTCGCGCAGAGCTCCACTGCCACATCCTGGGGTTTCTGGGCTGCAGGCGGCGCTGCGTGGTCCCTGGAACTTGTTGAGTCTACCCGGGAGCCAAATGCAGGCATGGGGCCCTTGCTTTCTCCCTCAGGAGCAGGCTGTCTTCAGAAGACCCTTTATGACTTCCTGAGGTGTCAACCCACCTACCCCTACTGGGTGATTAATGCCATAGGGGGAAGTAGGCATTGGGGCAAGGCGTCTGCCCCCTCACCTGCAGATCCATCTTTGGAGAGATTGGGAGTTAGGGTCACCCTTCTGTATTTCTATGTCTGTGATCAAATGCCCTTCAAATAAGAATTGGAAGGCAAACCTGCTTACTGCTTAATGGCCTAGGAACAAAGTAGAGTGCCTGCCTGCCTGTCAGGTCTTTTGCATGCTGACAATTTGGGGACATTTCTACTGCCCCTTATTTGGACCTCCTACTCCCCCTGTCTTTCTCCCTCTACAGAAGCAGGTTGAGGAGGTGGAAGTTGTGTTTGTTTTGATCAAAGTTAACTTCACTTCAGGAAGGGATTTCTCAGGAACAAAGAGCAACTCCCATCACTTACTCCTACTCCACCAGAGTTATCTGGTCTTGGTTTCAGCTGCATGCTCCCTGATGCCTAGCAGGGCTGAGTGGCAGGCCCTGGCACTGAGTAATCCCAGATGCAGGCCTCCAAGAGTATCCCCACTGTTGACAAAAAAAGGGCAGAGAATGATGGTAAACTTTGGCCATTGAATTGGGAGTTTAGATGGGAAATGCTCTCCCCCCCCCCCACACACACACCTTGCCAGATAGGAGATAGGCTTCTGCTTGTTTCTATATAGTCCTTTATCCCATCTTAGTACTCCAGGGCTCTCCATTGCTCTATCCTCATGCAGTGTCCTGATAGAGCCTAGCTCCCTGCTTTATATTTAGTCTCAGCTCTTTTAAAGGGCTTTCTGAGAGATGCTGTGTTGTCTATGTAGGATTATGCACCACATGTTCCAGAAGGAAAGTATTCTAAGTATTCTAAAATATTTCACCTTCCCATGTCTCTCTCAGTTGCCCTTGGGATACAGACCCATGATCCTGGTTAAGAGGTTTCACTAGAATGTACCACCAGGCCCAACTAGACAGCAGGATGGATCTTGAGTCTGCAGCTGGGTGCTTACCCCAGCTATACTGGAGTATCTAGGTTGATGGGCACCTAGCTGCAGGCTCAGAGTCTTCCCTGATATCTACCTGTTCCTGGTGGTTAGTGAGGGTATGCCAAACCTGAGGAATCTAAACTGTCCTTCTTACTCTTTAAAAATGTCCCTTGGCACCTAGATTTCTCCTAATTCTCGCCTGATTGACAGGCCCTTTACTTCTCTGTCCCAGGAGGCTGTTTGGGATCTGGCTGGTTTTATGTCAACTTGACACAAGCTGGAGTTTTCAGAAAGGAAGGAACCTCAGTTGAGAAACTGGCTATGTAAGATCAGCTGTAAGGCGTTTTTTAAATTAGCAATTGATGCAGGACCACCCAGCCCATTATGGGTGGTACCGCCCTTGGGCTCCTGGTTCTAGTTTCTGTTAAGAAAGCAGGCTGAACAAGCCATGAGGTGCAGGCCAGCAAGCAGCACCCCTCCACGGTCTCTGCATCAGGTCCTGCCTCCAGGTTCCTGCCCTGCTTAGGTTCCTGCCCTCACAGCTTTTGATGAAGAACAGTTAGTTCTATGAGGGGAATAGACCCTTTCCTTCCCCAAGTTGCCTTTGATCACAGCAATAGTAGCCCTTACTAAGCCTGCACCCCGAATAGACCCTGCTGCCCAGATAGAGAGCAGGAGGGTGAGTGTAGGACTTGGGGCTGTGTTACAGCAGATGGCAAGGATTCCTGCCTTATAACTCTGGCCTTTGGGAATTCTGTCAATTGTTGGAAACTTTCTGTAAATCTTATTGTAAATCCATAAAATTAAAATCTACTTTCTTTTCTTAATTATGTCACTGTAAAGCTGCCAAGCAATGTGGGAATGGCACCAGTAAAAATGAAAAACTAAAGGTTTGGGGTTCATGAAGAAATTCAGATAGCAAGGCATGTGGAGAAGGTCAGTGTTCAGCTGCAAGTGATTACTGTGAGCTCGATATAAGGTATCCATTAAAACAGTGTCAGTGATGATCACCGCAGTGATACCTAGAGGAGGAAAAGATGAGATGTTGTGCCTGGCAGGTTAGAAATCTCACTGATGTGAGGATGTCATTTCATTTGAACCACAGGTACTCTGAGTTCAGCTGGTCAGTAACTTCAAGCATTGCTAAGTCTACTGTTATCCTGGTTTAGTTATAAGATGGCTCTCCATAGGCTCATTTGGTCCAGAGCTGATGATGATGTTTGGAGAAATTGTAGGCCCTATGGCAGGTGGAACTTATTTGGAGGAAATAGCTTGCAGGAGTATGGGTATGAGGGTAGTCCTTGAGGTTTCTAGCTGTATTTCTCTCCCTATCCCCTACTAGAGGTTTGAGAAGTGTCAGGCCTACACATCTACTACCCAGCCTTTCCCAACATAATGGACTGTTCCTCTAGACCATGTGCAAACAAATCCTTCCTCTTTGGGTTGCTCTTGTCATGAATTCCATCTCAGTAATAAGCAAGCCACTAGTACACATCCTTTTTTTAATGCATGAACCTATTTACTTATTGCATCGCTAAGTACACCATCACAAATTGAGATACTAATAAGGATGTGTTTCACTGGACACTAGGTTAGGGATGAATTTATTCCGTGTGAGTAAGGTTGCTGAACCATCATGCTCAGATCCTTGCAGCAAGCCTTGTATAAGGGGCTGTCTGCGGGGAAGGACTTCTGACCTTCTTGCTGCCTGCAGATACTCTTTGCATCATTGTCTTTGCATGGACAGAACAGATGTATATATTAAGGGTTTATAATGAGCCCTTATGTTCAGCTTCCGCAGAAAAAGAGAGTGGACTCATTTTAGGAATCAATTAGGTATAAATTGGTTTCTTAGATTTTGCTTCAGAATTTCGCTACAAAAGGTAGTCTTGCAATGGAGAAAATAGCCATTTTAAAAGAGATTTCCCACAGGCAGAGGCATCCAGAGAATAAACCTACAAGGAAATTCATGCTATCTAACCCAAATAGAGCCTGTTCTTTGACTTCCTGAAAGTATGCACATCTTGAATTCCAAACCAGTTAATTGGTCAGAAGATATAGCTTGGTTGTTAGAGGACTTGCCTAGCCTGCAGTCCTGGGTTCTACCCTCAACCTGCAAAAACCAGACATTGTGGTGTACACATGCAAACTGAGTGCTTGAGAGGTGGAGGCAGAAGGATTAAAAGTTCAAGGTGATCCATCCTTGGTTATATAGCAAATTGGAAGCAAGCCTGGACTACCAAAGACCCTGTCTCAAAAACAAAACAAAGTCGATAGTATGATAAAATGCAGTGTGTATGTGTGTGTTTGTGTTTTCCGGTATTTTCTGAGGAGTTTTAATTCCAAAATGAAAGTAACTTACATATCTATCAAATAGTGAGTTGGGTGACATTTTCTTGGTCTTGTCAAAACTGTGAATTATCTAGGAACAACCACTACACAATTACTACCTTCTGAGACCGGAAGACTTTCAAAAACATCATGCAGACCAAGAGTGAATATCACTAATTGGCTGGAGAGACAGCAGTGATTAAGAGCCCAGCTTCTCTTACAAAGGATCTGGGATTGATTCCCAGCACCCATGTCTCATAGTTGTCTGTAACTCCAGTCCTAGGGACTCTGATGCCCTCTTCTGGTCTCCGGGAGCACTGCATACACATGGTACACACATGTATATGCAGGCAAACTGCCCACATGCTTTTTTAAAAAGAAAAGACAGAAAAAGAATATATACCACAGGATTCACTCAAGTAGAGTCCAAAGAAGATGGTTTGGGTGTTTGGTATGAAGCTGGTGGCTACCTTTGAAGGCTAATGACTCAGAGCCTGGGCAACTCCTTGCACATTCATTTATGTATGTAAACCAGGTGTCCTTTCGTCTCACGCTGTATTTTGTCTGAATGTTTTCACTGCATCCTCACTATGTCTTATAATACATCTCTTTAAATGAAGGGGCTTATTCACCAATGAGATGAACTTTCATCACTGAAGCCAAAGGGAAAGGGAGAGGAAGGGCTCTGCAGCCTCCCTGCATGCTTAGCTGCAGGTGAGAAAGTTCTGCGGGAAGCTGCCACTGAACCCCAGCCCTCCTGACTCTCAGATGCCCCTGTGACAGAGCTCACTTGAGAATGATTTTCCCACTTCCTACTTTTAATGTTCTCAAGTGACTCAAGGTGGGACTGCCTGCCATGAGCAGTTTACCCCCCTCCAGTTCAGAGGTGGCAGCTGCATACATGGTCAACCCACAATGCACTTGTGCAAAGAACTGATGAGCCCCATTGGGTGGGAGCAGTGACACATTCAAACTCTGCTTTCTCTTTCAAGAACAAGAAGGCAAAATGCTCAAAAGGCATCACAGCCAGGCCTCCTCTTAGCTCTGGAGATGAGAGAGATGCCCTTTCAATCATTTCATTTGTCATCCACCTTCTGCCCTCTGGACTTGTATCTTGCTTGGGTTTCCATCGGTGTCAAGCTCTCTACCCATAATCGCCTATTGTCCTGGTTAATAAATCTTACCCTCTTGGAGGAGAGGTGCTTGTAGACCCTTCAGATGCTTCTTTCCCATCTTTTCCCTCCAGGATGAGAGACTAGGGAGGCTTTACTGGCTGCTAATTTAATTAGTTTGGGAAAAGCTGAACATCTTGAAGACTGGTTAAAATCCCAGGTTTTCTAAACTAATCACTGCAAATAGAACTTT